TGTAATATATAAAATCAAAAATATAAAATAATAAAGTAACATAAAAATAATAAAACAATATATATTTTTCTAATGAAAATATATAAAATAAAACAAAATTAATAAAATATAATTATTGAGTTGATGTTTATGAAAAAAAAATGATGGGTTCAATTTTCAAGAAAATCAACACCCCGTACTAAGGAGGTGCCATTAGCACTCCCCGGGGATAAATATAGATTATCGAAATGTAATTTATAATTTAAAAAAATTACTAAACTTAATATAAACTAAAAAGTACACTATAAACATTAAAAAGAAAAAAAAATTATTTTAGAGATAATTTGTTTAAGAAAATATTTTTGGTCAACAACATTTATTTCTTAAATATGAAATATATATTTATCTTTAAATTTTTATAAAATTATTCACGTTTTTGTTTTTGTTTTTGTTTTTGTTTATATATTTGAAGTTTTTTTACGATGTAATTCATTAACATAAAATCATATTAAAAATTGAAGTGTTATATAGTGGTGGATGTCAAGAGAGAGATGCTAAGAGAGGTGTTTATTATTATTAAACTATATTTTTATGTAATTTTGTATAATATACTCATTAAACGATAATTAGAATATTAATTTGTATGATATTATAAATAGCTATTAGTTTGAAATTACATAAAAAATATTCAAATAATGTATGATGATATATTAACTACACAAACTAGAAGGGGAGACGGAGATTGTCGTCCTTAAACTTTGAAATCAAATATTTAAAGGAGAGATAATATATGATTAAAAGTATGAAATATTTTGAAATTTTTATTCTCTATTGTTAGAGATTTTTACTACAACAGATTCTCTAAAATCAAAATTTATGTTCATCGTGATAAGGTATTTTTTATATAAACTCTTTTCATATATAATATACTATTTCACATGTTCATCTTGGTTTTATTATGTAAACCAAAAAAAATTGTACGATTAATTTTTCACAATGATGTAACATTGTTATCGTGAATTTATAACATTGTTTGTTGTCATTTGGTTATTGTCATATATATATATATATATATATATATTAATCATTTGTTAACCGATCTAAATCTTTCATTTTTTTTATTCAATAGTTGTGATTAATAGATATCTATGTATGTATAGCTAAAAAGATTGTTTGTATCATTTGAATCCTCATTTAGATGCACATTTTTTATTGGTGATATGAATATAACCTAACTCACTTTGGCTCTTTTATAAGGGTTTTCTAACCCTGCCCCCTCCTATATATTATTTTTCAGTTTTAACCCTTCAACTTTTATTATATTTTGTTATTATATTTTTTAATATAGATTATAATTATATAAATTAATTAATAAAGTATTAATATTATTTTAATAATTATATAAATTAATTAAATTTAGATTATTATCTATACTATATTATAAAACATTTGACAAAAACTCTTAAAAACCATTTTTTATACATAAAATACTTTTTATTAATGTATATCACTTAAAACTCAAGATTGCAAATAGATTATGCGTAAGTACAACTTATTAAAGCTYTAWATCTRAATTYGTATAACTAACTGCAAATAAACATAATCAAATACATGATAAACATCTAATTTTAAATATAAAATATCTAAAATATAAGTAGGATAATCATTAAGTTCTAACAAAATACTTAATATAACTCGAAGCAACCCGATGTCTAATCGAGTTGTAAAATTTTCAAACCGTAGGTATTGGATTGATATTGGGTTACTATTAT